TCAAAATGGTGACCATCACCGGCAGCTAGATCAATAAAATAATATCATAAGGATACTCAGGAGCATTCATTCATGATTCATCCTGCTTATCTATGCATTAATATAAGCGGTTTTGCCAATAATCGGTTTTTGGATCATGCATTTTTTATTTCAACTTGTATGAATTTTTTCATTCCAGATTCGCAGTAGATATTTTTTCCTCAGTTACTTAATTTTGGATTTGAAAGAAGATAACTTTTTTCATGTATGAACATTATATTGTTTCTGCGAAAGTGTATGAGAACTAAAATTGGTAGTTATATGTGAGCAAATACATATTTGTCCATCAGATGTTTCAGCGAGACTTATATTATAAGTATACATCAATAATTGAGCTCTGGGAAATAGAATCAAGAGGGTCTAAGTGAAATATTTTGAAGAATGAGATTGATATTTTTCTGTTTGTGAGGAAAATTATTAGTGAGTCTGGTGATTAGAGGCAAGATAGGTTCTCTTCTAGTTTTTTTGGTAAATCAGTTGGAATTCTTGTTAATGCTTCTTGGAGAACTCCTCTCTCCTATTTTCCAGATTCTACTGTGCTTTATTTCTACAATTTACTATAATTGATTCACTTATTCAACACTTCATGGTGAAAATTGGATCACTTCATCAATAGAAGCAAGAACTATCGATAACTATCGTTCCTACTTCTAAATATATTGGAGGAAATATATATTTCAATTGTTTAAACATTAGACGCTTCTGTAATATCCAGACAACTAATAGTTATAATATTTTCGATTCTCTTATCCTTCATGTTTTTTTCTTATAAGGTCTTTCCACTATTACGATAATTTCCCCATTTCTTGAAAAAACTCCGGAACAAATGATTATTGAAGCGCCACCCTACGTTTAGGCGTGAAAATATTTTTTCAATTAGTTGGTTAAAGATTCTATAACCTCTGGCTTGGAGAAAGTTAGACTACTTTCAATTAGTCCTGAGATGAATATATTTAGGAAGAGAATAGTGGACATATATATTATATTAATATCGATATATAAGTCTAAGAATATCGCGATTAATTGATAGTTATTTTATCGAATATATGTAATGACTTATCGAAAATCGATGTATGAAATCCAATATCACGCAGCCCTAGTGTGAACATTTCGAACTCCAAATGTGGTCGCTATATTTGTCTATGTACCTACATGGTGATTGTTAATATTTTACTCGATAGCTATCTCAATTGGTCCTACAGCAACGATCAAATAGGAAAAAGTGAAGTATTTTTCATCGGCATTCAGAATCTAGTACTAGAAAATGTAAAAAAAGCATCGTAAACCTAAGAATTATTCATGAACTGACCGCTACAAATCGCAGCATTGTCACCTGACTCAGATATACATAGCAAAAAAATCTATATATATTCCATAAACTGCAAAAAAGATATCCTCCATAAGGTATATATACAGAGTGTCTCAGGTTTAACTCGTCTAACTGCAAAAATTGAAATATTGGATACGTATTCTTTTGTTTCATCGTGGTGAAACTTGTTTTCATTATACGGGGTTTTCTCAAACATTTTTAATTTTTATTTTCTCTCTCAGTGAGTACTGTTCTATCGGCAATATGAACAGTCTTTATCAATAGAGGATACTCAGCTACACTGGTTGTTATCCTTTTTCGAGCCCGCTAACATAAAATATAGAAAACCAAAAATGTATGCGAACTTTAACACCCCGTATAATGAAAACAAGTTTCTCCACCACAAGACGGAAAAATCCGTGTATAATATTTCAGTGTTTGTTATCGATTGTCGAAGTTAGACGAGTTACACCTGAATATTTGAAATCAGGAGAAAGATCTCTACAGTTCAGAAAAATGAAATACAGGGTGTTTATGCAAAATGTTGAGGTTTAGGATGCTTTTTGGTAATATCTAGTACTAAATTCTGAATGCCCATAAAAAATAGTTCACTTTTGTCGATTGGAACGTTTCTGTAAATCCATTTTTATCGTAGCTATTGAGTAAAATATAAACAATCACCCTGTAGATTTCCACTTTATACACATCTCCCAACATTGATTACCTACGTCTTAGTTTCTACACTTATCCGAATGAATTGTTCTCAATCCTGTATGTTCAAATTAGGGAATTCTAGCAGATACTGCCGTCGACTTGATAATTCAATCTGGAAAACGGGGAAATGTTCGAATTTAACTCCACTTGAATTACTTGCGGTGCTACCATACTACATGAAGGTTTATTTATTGTCACTTGGGAACATGTATGCCTCTACAGTTACAACACTTTGCATCATTATTGTAAGAGGATTCTGAAACAACGGAGACAATCCATACTCAAACTGTAGATCCATGAAGAAAAATTGAGTCATTATTAATTACAAAATAATCAGTAGCAGTCCCTGGTCGAAAAAAAAGAGTAAGAGAATATAGCGAACTCGCCAAATAACTTTTCAAGACATAATGAGTGTATCTACTGAATAGTTTTCCCCTGTCATTGATTCTTATGTTAGCAGGTCTATCACCTGAGTCAGCTTCAACTACCTGTTCACCTAATCTTTGGATATGTGATGCTTGAGTCAGTCCATGTCGTAACATTTGAAGATAAAACGGTGCTTCTTTCTCATCGCATCCGAATCAACATCAATCGTCCTGATGTTATATGTATAGTCAATGGTTTTCCTTAACGAGCTCTTGATATCATCAGGGTTCTTCTGAAGTGTCATCCATCAGCAATTTCGTCAGTCTGTGTAAGACAATCGAATTTCAACACATGCTTGTCGACTAATCGAGTTCTGGTGTAACGGAAGGTTATCTTCCCAAGGCAACATGACACGGACCCTCCACTAAATCTATATAACTTCGAAGTCTATTGGAACCCCACTTAATTATGAAGTTGATCGTTGATGAATTTGGTTGGTTCATCCATAAACACACCTATTCGTCCAGGAAATTTTTGAATGGACAACGGCCTTTTGTTCATCCAGTTTCCAACCAGAGTTAGGCTCGGAGTTGGGTCTTCAGGATGTCAGTAGACGGAGCTGGTGATAGTTCAACTGTCAGCATCTTGTTGGTTTTATGTTCCCTACCAAGTACCTGCAATGTAGCTGGAATTGTTGTCCACTATGTCATTTAGGATGATTCATTCTGGAAGCAAGTCGAAACTAGTCTGGATTCCACAGGAAGGAAGGAATGCTCGAAGTTCCTGTGAAATATTTCACTCCACTTCGAGCAAAATGGACTTCTACCAAAGATTAGTCTGGATTGTTAAAATATCTGCCTTCCTGACTTTTAGATACGATTGTGTAAAATATTTTGTTATTTTGTTTATTGTTGTCCTGCAAATGATGAATAAAGACGTATTATTATTATTATTATTATTATTATTATTATCTGGATGGTTTCATCTGATGAGTATCCCCTCTTTATGCTCTCTTGAACATGAGCTCCTATCACCTTAACATACCAGATGATGAGGAGTATCAATTACGAAGGAACATTGTTTATAACAACTGAAGAGTCCATACTTGGTAGCCTCATTTTTCAATCACACGATTGTCCACACTGAATTCCATGTGCACAAATGAACAAAGTCACATCACTTACATCTATAGGAAAAAAATTGATTTCGTTATGTTAAGGGCTTATTTCAATTTGCATCTCTTGGTGACAAGATATTGCATTCGGAAGTACCATTGGTAAACATGAACAATCTGAAACAAGTCGGAATATGGACTTTTGGTCACGAGATCGACGTTATACTTAAGATCAACTGGATATCTACTTGCCTACGTTATCCATATTATTTGGCAAGCTTCATTAGGAAAACATGGGGAATAATCTTTAGCTGTTGCGTTAGACATATAGAAAGCATTCGACCGTATTTGGCACCATCATACGGCTCACCATCTCAGATATGCCATCTCTTATCGAGTTTTCTTTTAGGCAGATCGCTTCACGATACCATTGTAATCAATTTTGGCAAACCACAAGGATCGATTTTGGCATCAACATAGTTCCTACTTCATATCAATGATCTTTCGGATGTAACAACTTGCCCTATCCACCAGCTTTGAAGATGATATTACTCTCTTTACTGGCGAAGGCAGGTCAATGGTGCCAATGAAGATTATGCTAAAATCACCTGGGGAACCAACAACCTAGTAGAATTCAACGCCACCAAAACTCAAGCCTGTAGTTTCTGCTGAAAGGCGGAACTCAGTAAGCCTTTTCTCTTGAAAAGCCGATCTCACCCAACATAAGCTTATCAGAAGTAACCATACCTTTGAAGACATCCATTTCGATGCTTGGTATCACTATCAGCAATAACTTTGCTTGGGAAAATCACGTGAGATCAATTATTGCTAAAAGTGCATACCAAAAACTTGGTTTTCTGTTTCGGGCCAGGAGCTAATTCACTTACAGTCAACTGCTTATGATCTATAAGGCACAAATCCCCCCTATCCTGGAATATTATTTCCATATTTGGACTGCAGCACCCAAACATACCATGAAACTGTCCAAAAAAGGGCAATTCGTCTCGTGGGTGATGCCTTGCTCACAAACTCACTCACTTCTCTGGAACACCGTAGAAATGTTGGCGATCTGGCTCTATTTTATAGATATTTTCATGGACTATGCTCTTCTGAAATATCAAAAATTGTTCCTCCCTTGGCAGTCCCTGCTAGATTAGCCCGTCGAGTTGAGGCTTCGCACCTCTTCGTGGTCACTTTGGAGACCTGCAGAACATCTCTTTCCAAAGACTTGTTCATCCAACGAACAGCGAGGCTCTGGAACACATCGTCTAGGGGGGAACACTAATTCCTACCTTATTTTTCTTGGTTCTCACGATTTTCTCTGAACATTACAGGATATCCCTTTCCGTGGGAACCAGAAAATACGAAAAAAGTACGCACGATGTTCTTCGAACATTAGGGATTTCCTCTCTAGCACTCCAAGCGATAAAAAAAATAACCTTGTCCATTTCGTTTCAGACTGAACTACCAGGTGAACAACGGCATCTACGACCTGTTGATCTCCAACGCCAGCTACGACAGGGACAACGGCAAGTTCGAGTGCAAGGTCAAAGCAGGCGGTTCGGGGGCCAATCTCCACGTGCAGCGGTACTCCCTGACGGTGCTGACGGTACCCCAGGAGCCGGGGATAGCTCCCAGCTCGTACGTCACTGTGACTGAAGGAAAGAAGCAGGAGTTGACGTGTTCCAGCGTGGGAGGGTCTCCTGATCCCGAAGTCAAGTGGTACAGGCAAGGTGAGTGATATCTCTCCCAAAATAACTGACATAGTTAGTCAGACAGCACAGAATATTCTACTGGATATTCTATTAATTAATCTCACAACGTTCACAATATAACTCCTTCGAAATATCCCAAAGAATCTTATGAATGTTCATAGAATGTTTTAGGAGTATATTCATAGAACATTTCATCTTGATATCCTAGGAACGTTCCTAGAATATTCCAGTATATTCTATGAATGTTATATTCGGGAATGATCATTGAATGTATTTTGTTCGAAAATTCTTGGTATGTTCTCCAGGTATGATCAATTAGAATGATGTTGATTAGATTCTATGAGAAAGAAAAGAACATTGTTTCCTATAAATATATTACGTCCTAGCTCTCGTCGTTATTGAGATGGAGTCATTTATTCAGAAAAACGCGATTTTTCTTCAAGCGGCATAGAGAGTGGTTTTTCTCTGACACTCAACAGGCAAGGAAGGTGCACGAAAACAAAAGGAATTGTTGAATCAAGCAGAATTTAATTGAATGAACCAAATTCAAATGTCATTTATGCACGATCTGGTTCTTATTCAATCAAGCATATCCATGAATTATTTATGAAGAGCTAATTAATTGGCCCAAACAATCATTATGTTTGATTCAAAATAACAAGATATTGATTCAATCAAACTTCTTGTTGATTGAATCAAATATTTGGTTGATTCAATGTTTTGGTAAATTCAATGAAATAATTTGTTGATCCAATGAAATATTTCGTTGATTCAAGAGAAACTGTATTTCCTTTCGACAAATTGTTTTGTCGAACCAAATTCAATATTGCTTCTAGAATTTCCTGAAATTGCATATCAATACTGAATAGAATAAACTAAACTAGGAAACTAGTCGACTTCTAGCATTTATCTCCAGCCTTTACTTCTCTTCAGCTTGCTGAGCATCCAAAGTTCGGTTTATCCAGCTGATGGTATTTCAAACACGAGGAATAAGGCTTCACGTATTTGATGAATTCGAGGCAGGCATAGACTAGGCAAAAATATTGCCATCTGGTGGTGAAAATTGACGCTGTTGTTTAATGAACGAAATACTCCATTGTTATTACTTATTTCGTTGCTCTATTCAAGCAAATGATCCGTTCGAAAAGAGTTGATAGTTACATCGGAATAAGAAAACTTGTATGTTGTTTCAAATATATATTATTATCAATATGATCATTATTTCATCAAATCAACAAGATGTTTATAGTTGAATCAACATCGACATCATTTTGGATCGACATTATTTGTATTTGAGATAACCATATATATGGTTGATTGAATTGATATTATACTGTTGATTCAATTAAACTTCATTCCTGATTTGAACATACATACAACAAAAATAATTCAAGCATAAATAATTTGTTGATTCAACAAATCCTCTCATGTTCATACAGATTTTTTCATTATTTCAACAAAAAGTACAACATACTGTCAAATCTTACACATCAGAAACCAGATCAACCTATATACATATAACACTTTTCTTTCAGAAAATAGCCATTTATTCCCCATTATCTTGTCGATGACAGTATAGTGTCATGTCCTTAGTCGATATGAGCTAGGCAACCCTCGCTTTAACACCCTTGAATTGAATTTACATATCATTTTGAAGGTTCCTTCTAGTGTTACTTGATGTGAAGTATGTGGATTAACAGCTCACAGGTGTATCAATCAAGTTTAAAAAATAATCTGAAATTTGAAACCTGAACCACGAATAGAAACTTGATATACCTACTTACACATCAATAAATCGAGTTTGATGTTGAAAATGTGTCCCCTTCGGACATATTGACTGTTTACCTAAGGTCAGTCTTTGTTCATATCTCAAATAAGTTATGACTCATTCTGTTTTTCATTCCAGTGACGTACCCACTGGATGGATAATGTGGGTCAAATTTCCCCGCAATTATTATATGAGTAGTCATTCCGATGTGAATAGTGGACATCAAGCTTTATCACAAATGGCTCAGGCTACTGAACTATGGTGATGCAACTTCACTTCCAAAAATTACATTGTCTCTAACAAGCTCACCCTAACCTGTACAGACTGTTATTGATCAAAATGAAAATTCAGAACATCTACTTCTCTCCTCTGAACCACAGAATACTAGTATTCTGTGTCTTAACTGGTTCAACATCGACAAGTAAGACTCTTCGAAGAGTGTTATCTATTTCCAAAGATTACATTATTGGTGGACAAGCAATATGCCTTGGTGACCTAATTTTGTTTTATGGAGAGCATAACCTAATTTTCAACAAAAACTTGTTTCTTGTTAGTTTTTCATTCCCCCTCTGTCCTCAAGGCCAATGGCAGTGTACGCCACTGCTTCATACCACTAAGACAATAACATAGTAAACTCTCAGTTGAGCATAACATCAGGATATCGAAGGGAATGTATCCTCCCCTCAGAGCTCTTAGGCCTATAGACATAGCTCGTCAAACTTATTGGATATGTTTGTCTCGTGTATATCCTTTTACTAACAATTTCTATGAATAACGGAGGGGTGCAATTCAATTAATGGATCTTGATGTTATTAACAGTAAAGCGAACGAAAATTATATTGAAATCGATGCTATTGTAATATTCTTGATAACTTCGCATATCAACTTGGGGGACGATTTTGATTTGAAATTGCTAAATTTGCTTATGGTGTCAGTTGTGAAAATGTCTGCTCTCAAAATTTTTGAAATTAAATCAATAGGGCTTTGATGAGATGATTGAACAAAGTTTCGGATCTATATGTATATGGTTCCGGTCTTAGTACCAAACGTCCGTCCCTTTCCTGTGGATTATTTTCTCTGCTTATATAATTTTAAATGATCGACTCAGGAGAGAACTGTAAAATAGCATATTTTTAGCGAATTGAAATAAAAAACCTATTGTAATAATGTGATAATTACATTTCCTCAAAAACAAATGCAAGGAAATGAAAAGGGAAATCATACTATTTTCATGAATTTGTTGGAATTATCTACATTATGTGTGAACTTGGTAGAATTCATTCAGATTATAAAAAACATGTTGGAGAAGGAGATATTTCAATTTATGCTTGAATATTTTTATATCATCACAATGTGTGATTGAGTTAGGAAGGCATCTGAACATTTTAGTGCTTGTATAGAAAACATTTTTTCGGTTTATATTCATGTTGAAATTTGGTAGAAGATGAATCATTATTTGTTGTATCGTGCTGTGGTACAATGCACGAGAAAATGCAACGAGAGACGAAGGAATGAGATTTTTCAGGTATGAATTGTGATGTGATCTGAAAGTGCTGTGATCACTAACACAGCTTTCATTTAAAAATGATGTCATATCACTTTAGAAGTCTTACTACCTACTAGTTCTGCAATAAAAGATAGAAGCTAACAGAGTGAAATTGTGTTTTCTTATGTTCTGGTTCCCACGAAGAGGGATATCCTGTGATGTTCAGAGAACATCGTGAGAACCAAGGGAAATAAGGTAATAATTGGTGATATTCTTAAATTTCTGGAAGTTATATGCCTCGGGGAACACCTCCCTTTGCAATTTGTTCCAGAGCCTCGCTGTTCGTTGGATGGACGAGTCTTTGGAAAGAGATGTTCTGCAGGTCTCCAAAGTGACCACGAAGGGGTGCGAAGCCTCAACTCGAGGGGTTAATCTCGCGGGGACTGCCAAGGGAGGAACACTTGTTGATATTTCAGAAGAGCATCGTCCATGAAAATATCTATAAAATAGAGCCAGATCGCCAGCTTTTCTACGGTGTTCCAGAGAAGTGAGCACACACGACCATATTTCGTCAGCATGTCAGACCAGTCCTCCCGTTAGATTGCACGAATATAAACTTCTTGTCTTATTTTAGAAACATTACAAGCCTTTGCATTAGCTCCTTTTGCAGACGAAATTCTAGAGGAGAATGACAAACATTCAAAATGGAAACTATAATATACAGTAATTTTGTAATTTTGAATCCTAACTCACCTACCTGCGAAATCTCATTCCTTCGTCTCTCGCTGCATTTTTTGTTCGTTGAACAGCAGCACAATATGATGGCATGCTTGAATGAATAAATATGTAGCCCAAAGAACACAATTCTTATGCCCAAATAATTTTGATAAACTATTTCATACCTTTGTAATCAAATAAGGAAAGTGAGGTTGTTTTACCACAGTCCGTAGGTTAGTCGAAGAAATGGAAATATCATCAATTTTTATTAAACTTGTAGTAAGAACAAATTATATCATTCGCCTGAAATTGTCACTAAAAACCTAAGAAAGAAATTCAATCTATGCCAAAAGTAACACTTTGCTTGAAGGAAAAGAATGTAGATACATCACTTATCTCTGAATGTATCAAGAATCGGAATATTTTGTGCATACCATCAATACTAGCTATCTCTGATGCTGCCTACATATTGAAAATTTTCAATTGTGAGTTTCTCCCCAAGAAACGAGGACTTGTTCAAGTCATTGATATATCATTTAACGTCGTTACTTTGGGTGGTAAACTCTGTTTTTTGTTAGTGTTTTAGTAGTCATTATTGTCCTTCTTTCTCTTGGCTATCATCAGAAACAATTCTTGCTTTGAAAGACAAAAAGTCACGGAATGATTCACTAATGTATGTTATTATGATTCACCCGAAGATTGAAACTACTTGTGAACGGAAGAGGCAAAACCCAGAAGGATTTTCACACGTATTGTTGTAGTCAACGTTTTATTCTCGACTCAAGCTTTTATAAAAAACTCTCTCTTTTCATACTTCCTGTGACAAACAAAGGCTTTTTGTATGTATAAATTCACAGAATGAAGGGCCCAGGTCCACAAACATTGTAAAGTGTCTGATAAACCCACTGAGCACGTGCTGTAATTCAATATTCTCATTAACTAAAAGAACTGCTCAACGAAAAAATAAGCTTTGAGGAGAAAATCAAATTAAATTCATCATATACAGGTTACAGAGTATTTCAAGATTCATCTGTGTCTTCTAACATT